ACAAAGGAATTGGATTATGAAATACTGTGTACATTGGGATTCTTTAACAGGTTTATCATGCTGAAGAACCCCCACCCCCATTGCTAATTGTTTTGTTTTGCAACCTTCAATAGCATCATTTATTTTTATTTATTGATATTATGTTTATTTCAATTATTTCTGCCTTACCGATGAAACACATTATGGCGAATTGTTTATCAGAAATGAAAACAAAACCAAATTGCTAGAAGTCTTCAGAATTATTACAGGTGTAGGTTTTTTTTTTTTGTTAAATTTCAACATATTTTATTTCAAACTTCTCCTTATAATGTCTTCATTTATGCTTCTGAATCAGATTTAGTAAAATAGGATTAATATATTTTCTAGAAAATTAATTTCTTTTGGGAGTAGATGAAATATATAATTCAGAGTAATTTTTAGCAGCACTTCTTGACATTTTCTGCACACAGTGTTCTGTTCCTAGATTTCCTCTCACATATGCTGGTCTGCCCTTTACAGCCTGCAGCTATTTTAATCTCTTTTCTCAATAAAGCATCCAGTCCCGTACTCTTGAATCTAGGAAGGAAACATTTTCTGGCAATGCTTAGAAAATGGGAATCTGTTGTTTGATATTGGCAAAGCAAACCTTGCATCTTGAAGAAACAATGTCTTGCATTGAAGAAACCCATGTCTTGCATTATGTATTCAATTAGGAATGGTCATCTTACTTCAAACATAGGTGCAGCCTATGTTTGCCTCAAACAGTTTACAATTTGTAATAGTTATTTACATAGGATTAATGAGCCATGGTTGTGCAGTGATTAGAATGCAGTATTGCAGGCTACTTCTGCCTACTGCCAGCAGTTCAAACTTGACTGGCTGAAGGTTCACTCAGCCTTCCATCCTTCCAAAGTTGGTAAAATGAGGACCCAGATTCTTAGGGGCAGTATGCAGACTCTGTAAACTCCTTAGAGAGTGCTGTAAAGCCCTATGAAGTAGTATATAAGTCTAAGTGCTGTTTCTATTATTGCTATTTTTCTATAACATAATCAGTTGGGTTCATTTATTCTGTTCAGTTTTTTAATGGTTTGGAAGCTTTTTTTATTTTAATGGAAGCACTACAAATGATAACATAATAGCTGCAAAAAAATAACATTTTTGTATAAAATACTATGTTAGGAAAGTAAATATTGGGAAATTTTTGAATCGGTGATTAAGGATACATTGTTCCAGTCACAAAACATGGGATCGGGAGCTTGGCAGCCAAATTAAAATAAATAGTCCTTTACTTATGACCACAATTGAGCCCAAGATTTCTGTTACTAAGCAAGACATTTGAGTTTTGCTCCATTTTACAACTTTTCTTGCTACAGTTGTTAAATAATCTCAACAGTTATTAAGTGAATCTGGTTTCCCTGTTGACTTTGCTTGTCAGAAGATCGCAAAAGGTGATTACATGATCCAGGGACATTGCAACCATCATAAATACATGCCAGTTGACAAGCATCCTAATTTTGATCAAATGACCATGGGGATGCTGCAACAATCATTACTCACTTTTTTCAGTGCCATTGTAACTTTAAACAGTCATTAAATAAATGATTGTAAGTTGAGGATTACCTGTATCTGTAAATTTATTCAATAACTATCAGAACAAAACTATTCGGTTGGAAAAAAATCTGTTTTCTGTAAAATACTAAGTTTAGGAAAGTAAATAATGGGATATTTTTGAATTGGTGATTAAGGTTTCATTGTTCCAGTCACAAAAGTTGGGGGGGGGGGGTCTTGACAGCCAAATTAAGTATCTGTAAATTTAATCAATAACTACCAGAAACATTAATTAAAACTTTTGCTGATTACACATTTATATTTCTTCAAAATCCTCACAGGTTTACATCTATTGAGCTTCAATATTCAGACAAGCATGACTGTCCACAAGTCAGGCATTTACAGAGGTCTGGATCCAGCCCTCAAAGTACCCCAAATAATCTGCATACTGGACAAAATGCATATGGACTCCATATGTTTAACAGGGCAAAATTAATTCACAAACAAGAAAGGAAGTATCTCCACTTATCCAATAAAATAACTTGTAAAGCATACAAACCTGAACTCAGATATTGTTGTATACTTACAACAATATCTTTTACACAAGTTTACAATAGAACCAAGGTGAAAAATACCAACATGCACTATACAAACCAAAACTTCACTGTGAAGCACAATTAATTCAAATGTATTTGTCTGTATATATCCCTGCAATTCACCTTTCCTGGAAATTAGAAGTAGAAAGATGTGTGTGTATATTTGTCTGTGTGTGTATCTGTGGACAGACAGACAGACAGACAGACAGACACTTTGTTGGAATATACATTTCTATGTCATAGCCTGCCCCCAAAGGGCAAAACTTCTGGATCAGATTCCTCACTAAAGTACACATAGGATTGCATTTTACCTCTATACTGCATAACAAAGGAAAAAAAGCAATATTTAACTGAAGAGAGATAAAAAATTATCCTTAACAAGAAATCAACAGTGTTTGTGCCAAAAAACATCATTTTTTGTTAATACTGGTGAAAATTTGGCTGACAACATATTATGCCTCTTCTTTTCCAGTGTTGTTCTTTTCTGGAATGTTCATGTATTCATACGAAATAAAACCATATCTTTCATGCCTGACCCAGCTTAATAAAACACTACTTCTTACCTACATAACATAATTAAGGCCCCTGATTCTAAATATGTAAGACTTTAAAAATGCAGGTTTTTTGGATACATGTATTTAGGAATGGAGAGTTTTATCTTCTCTCTTACTTATATTTCAGATTACATTATAGCTAAAAATAGATTTTTCAAAAATTGAGCTGGCCAAATCTCTTTGACTAGAAATTGCAGTCAATTTAAATACCTATGAAATGTCATAAAGGTTGAACTTGAATATGATTAAATGATCACGTGCTAATAATGTGATTATTTCATTTAAACTTGGCCCCTTTTGATGAGGTTGTCTTACGATATGGCAGAATCATACAAATGGTGGATAAGGTTTTTTTATGTGAGGTTGTGGAACAATTCATCCTGGTTTGATATCCTGTAACATGAACCATTCATTTGTAATATAGAATTCTTGTTCTAATATACAGTACCAAGCGGGGAGTACCTCAGAAAACACTGCATTCCAAACAAAATTAATGAGAGATCCATTAATTCCAAAATACTTATTGAATTTCAGGCTTCTAATGATGTTCACTATGCAACCCAAGATATCCAGGCTGGTGGCAGTGTTGGAAACCTGTGAAGGATGTCAGTGCTGAACGTTGTCATCTCTGAGTACAGCAAAAGATTTAACACTTAAGTATCAAGCATTGCAAGAATAGACCAAAAGCCAGATTTGGATTCCCTGATAGCCCTTTGGATGATTTGCAGAACATCAGCATGAATTTCCAAAACTACAATAAACTGTACAATAAAAGTAGCAATAGTATAATTTATCTGCCACCTTAAAACTATGGTTCTGAATTATTTTTTTTAAACTGTTACCACAGTGACTAAGGAATCCAATAAATGTTGGCATGGGTGGTGCTCCAAATCCTATCCCTTGCCTTCTTATTCATTGGCTAGTTGCTCCAACTAAATTCCCACCCTTCTTTATTTTACAAATCTCAATCTGAGCAAAGTATTTTTGGTTGGAAAGAGCAGGTGAGAAAAGTACCACTGAGGCAGATGAGCAAAAATTAATGTGAAAACCAGATAAATATGGAGAGGTTGGCCACAGCTTTGATCTCACTCTGTCCTCTGCTCCTTCCCCAAAATCATGTCAATTTCCTAATGACAGATTTAACCCTATGGGATTAAAATACGGTACTTTGCAAATTTCAGTGGGATTTTTTCTTGTGGTTATAAGGGAAATGCTTCCTCTGTGCTGCTGCTGCTGCTATGACTGGCAGCTATGACATTAATGTCACACAAGGAACTACATAATAATAAGCACCCTTCATTAGGTATGGATAGTCCTCAATTTACAACTATTTGTTTAGCAACATTTGAAGCTGTAATGCACTGAATAGTGTTTATGACCTGTCTTTGGAATTCCCTTCCCTCTTGCACACTCTTGCTTGATAACTGTATCACTTAGCAACAGAAATTCTGGTCTCAGTTTACATTGTAAGTTGAGGATTGCCTATATTCTAGAACTGTGATGGCAAACCTATGGCACGCTTGCCACAGGTGGCACACAGCATCCTCTCTGTGGGCAAGTGAGCCATCGCCCCAGTTCAGCTCCGTCGCACATGTGCATGTGCCTTCCACCAGCCAGCTGGTCATTGGGTCTCTGCCATGCATGCGTGGGGGCAGGGCGCATGCGTGGGGTCATGCATGTGTGGCAGAGACCCGACAATTAGCTGGCTGGTGGGAGGCACGCAACAACTGAACTGTGGCAATGGTTCATGTGGGGATGGGGCCTGTGCAGGGGGGTCACGCATGCATGCGCGGGGCAGGGCGCGTGCAGGGGGCCCATGTGCACATTGCATTTTGGGCACTCAGTCCGGAAAAGGTTAGCCATCACTGTTCTAGAAAGTTGGTTTAGTGAAACCCTACTGAACCATAAACCATCTATTGCAAGAAATCACTTCTGTTCTGTTAAGATAATTAAAAGCTAGTAAGATTTGCATTCAGCCACAGTGAATGGTCAGAGTGGTCCTCACTATAACTTTCTATGCTATCAATATGGATATGGAACTCAGCTGAGCAACAAAGGCACATACACCTCTAGGTTCAAAATGAGGATAAATTCAGTGACTTGGTCTATTTAAAAAATCCTAACCTAATTATGGTGTTAACAATGGAGACATGATTGTTGATTTAAAGCATAGCTATTTGAAAAGGTAATAAAAACTGTAGAGAGAAGAATCAGAATTACTTTTATTTAAATCTGCATTGCTTCCATAGTAAATTACTGTATAAAAAAATAAATACACTGTAATTTCATGGCTAATCCAAGATAAAAAAGAACATCTGCTCAGTAAAATTAGCTTTGTCTTTATTAAATTGAATGATCTTACATTTAAAAGTTCAATAATTATGACTAATAATTATTAATAATCATTTAAATACCTCTGTACATCTATGTAACATTTATTTCACCGAACTCCTGTAGGATAATTATTCTATATGCTTACAATATCACACACTGAATTTGCTACATAAACACAAATCTAAATGCATAATTTTAGATTTGTAAATTGGAATGTCTAAAAAACTAAAGAAAATTAAAAGAAAATTGTAGTATTATTGACATTAGCTATATGACGTGATTCATATGATACTCACATAATATCTAACTCATTAGCAGCCAGAATATTCATTTATTACTAGAAGAATACCATACTTCTACCAATATTTTATGAAATCTAGGACACTGTAGTCATACTTAATTTAATAGAAATCTGAAAGGAAGTGTAACAGAGTATAAAGATTAAAATACCACTAATAAATTATAAGTAATGTTTTCCTATAATCTGATTGAATTTAAATGAATATACAATACAGAATTGCAGAAAGCCTAGGTCCATATTTTATAGCATTCCTTTCACGGTTGGAAGAAATACAGAAGGGTGGGTGTGTGGGTGTGTATGCGTGCATGTACTGTATGTGTATTTATAGGATTTTCTCTTAAAATTAAAATTGGTTCAACAGATTGTTTTGATAAGAAAAATGTTCAGAGAAGGAAAATGCAATCTTTAGGGAAAGGTTAACACACGTGAAGGTCTTCACTTGGTTGGTTTATCCAATCATAGAAATAAGACTGTCCAAATAGTATGATTTTTTACTGTAGGGGCTTTTGGGAAGCATTCCTTCTTGGCCAAATAAGGTGAAATTTTGGAATTTGTAAAATGCACACATTTAAAGATTCCCAAGTTAGGAAAAACTACACAGGTAGTCCTCATATAGTAAGTACCTCATTTACCAACCATTCACCGTTGGAAAAATGATTAAAAAGTAACTTTATGACCAATCCTCATAATTACAACCTTTGCAGGTTTGTAAAGCAAAGGAAAGCTGAAGCAAAATCATAAGAGCAGTTTTGGTTTCACTTAATTACTGTTTTGAATAATGATTGAGTTGCCAGTCCCAGTTGTGATCACTAAATCAGGACTACTGGCGATATAGCACGGCAATAAAATGTTACCACAGTTCCTCACATAAGAATGGAATGATGATCTACATTGGTCAGTCTCACTTTTGTTCCTCTATTTTTGGGAAATGGTAACATAATGGGGAATATCTTCAGAGAATGCACACTAAAGCTCTGAAGAACATATATTGTATAATGTCTACCAGAACCTACAGTCATCTTTGGTTAACTTGTAAGAAATCTATATTTCTTTTTGTAGAAGCCATTTTTTATCTGCACTGAAACATATGGCTTTCCTTTTACTGAGGTGTAAGATCCTGGATTCAAAAATGTAATACAGGTTCCAATTTATTCCATCCTGATTTATTTTATTAATATACATAATTATATTAACTTCCTGAAGCTGCAGAGAATATAAGTCACAGGAGGTATTCGATAAGGTGTATAATTTTAATAGATACTGAACTCATAGTCAGTGAATTTATTTGTTGTATTAATTATACAGTTATATCTTTCTTTTTAAAAAACTGTTTCTTCCCAGATGATTCTGAAGTTTAAACACATTTATTCATGCACTCCAGCAGCTCCATCCTGATAGCAATGCGCACATGCCAGCCAAGGGGTATCAACCTTATGTAACGAGAAACAATGGGTGGGCGCAAAAGGTTCTGCACACATGATGATCTGTCTGAATTTCCATAGAAAATCTAGAGAAAATGAAGTAGGAGAACAAGGGGAAAAAAGAGAGCTTAAGACTTAACATTCTTCTAATTTTGCACCCAAAAATTTGGAAACAATTATACTGCCTTAAATGACTGTGCAGTTGACTTGCCCAGTAAGGTTGCTGATAGTTTGTGCCTAGAAACAACTACCATAGAAACAATTACTAAATTCTGCTTGGGGAGAAGAACCTAACTCTCCTTGACTAAAATATGTTTATATACTGTATTAGTATTGTACTCAGCATCTTCCCTCATCCCATATACAGTTTGTTAAAGAGTTTTTAAAATTCTAATATAAAGGTCATAAGTGACTGACATTGTGCTTGGTTTAAAATATTTCACGAAGGAAGGCAAATATATGTGTCCCAGGATAATGTTGCAGGATCCAATCTGGGTCTGAGTTTTTGTCTTCTGAGTTTTCAGACTTGTGCTGGAGCCCATCTTCAGGAAACTTCTCTCTAGCAGAGTATGTTCTTTGGGCTATTCTGTGTGTGGTATTTATATGGTATATGTGGCTTTTTAGTTGTTGATTGGGGTGCTAATGGCTGGCTATTAAGTCATTGGCTGTTGTTTGCTTCTGCTCCTAAGTACTTGATAAACTGGTGGTAAATCAGCACTCCTGTTGATTGACTGGGGGGGGGCTATTTCCCAGGCTTCAATCACTTCCCTGCCTGTTTTTGTATCTGCTCGTCCAACAATCTTAGTAGCTGCAAAATTGAATGTATGTCCTTGTTCATTGCAGTGTGAGGCTACCAATGAGTTCAGGTCTCCTTATCTGACCACTCGCTTGTGTTCTTGCAATCTGGTGATTAGCTTTCCCTCTCCCCCATGTCTTTATAAACCATATAAATACCACACATGGAACAGCCCAAATTACACACTCTGCTAGAGAGAAGTTCCCTGAAGAATCCAAAAGCCAGGAAGACAAAATCTCTGGTCCTGGTGACTGACCCAGATTGGATCCTAAAATATTTAACTTGATTACATATTATTACATGGCCTCACCCCTAGCACCTTTATTGAGCTATTTTCAAATACAGGTTAAGTGCTCTTCTAGAAGTGCACTAAACTTGTTTTCAGGCTTCTTTTGAATACCTGCCAGCTGTTGTTAGATTATTTTAAACACAATTTAATAATCTTCTGAAAGAGTATTAAATGTGTGTTCAAAATGAGCCCATGTTGCATAGTATAGTGGGAATTTCCTCATTCTCCAATATGCAGCTACTACCCACCCACCCCACTCTGCACCTGCCATCTTTTAGTCAAGCTGGTCCCTCTTTCCAAACCAGTTCTCAATAGATACAAGATGGGCATTTTCTTGGAGGCCTGGCAAGTGTGGGGCAGGAGGAAGTCAAATTTGAATGGCCTGGAAGGGCAATGACTAGAGATTGCAGCGGAGAATGCACATCTGCATCAACTTATGGTGGCCAACAGTTGTTGGTTGAATATTGACTAAATGGTTGATGAAGTATGCCAGATTGTACCCATAATAAAACTTCCATAGTTTCTTGCCTGTTTAAGTGGCAAACTATCTTTAAATACTTAACTACTTTAAGGCTGACTTAAGGCTGACTCAAAGTATTGGTTGGGGGTGAGATGAAGATAACAACATAAAGACACAGCAGGAAAAAAAGAGACTGCAAGACCATGTTCATACCATAGTTAAGTATACACTGGGAAAGGCCCTAAGTGATTTGGGTTAATGGAAATGCATGAGACAACGTTGATAAAATTAAGAGATAGAAAGGAGTGAATATAGGCATAATATATTCAGTTGATAATCTAGGGTTTTCAGAAGAGGTCTGCTTTTATACATGTATATCCCAGATTGGTCAGTTGTCCAAAATGGTATAGTAATTGTAGTCTCAAATTTAAGTCAATGGAAAGGATTTAATGGCATTCTTTATTCACCTGGAAGCTGAAATATATGCTATTGGAATAGATACAAATACTGGGACTTCTTCAGAAAAGGGGAAGGGATCTTATACTGACCCGATTGTTTCCTGTTTGGTCCTTGTAATAAACCCAGTTCAGATTCTCATCAGTCCTGTATTGCACACTATATTTTGTCATCCATTCATCTGCATCACATCTTCCCTGTGTAATTATTCCTGAAATAACTTTAATTTCCTTCACGTCAATCTGCAGCCACTGATTTGTATCTTGGTATTTGGAGAGCCAGGCACACCTAGAAGAGTTATGGAAGGAAGGCATTGATGGTTAAGTACATATCTTTATAAGGCATACATTTTGACTCAGCATCCATAAACAACTCCTCTTTAGAGGATGAGTCAAGAGATTAATCTGAAGCCAGCAAATGGCCAGAACCTGGATCAAAATAAGCAGAAAAAAATTCAAGTCCAATGATCCAGATAATGATCCTGATAAAGACACCTCCAAGCCACTCACTGTAGGGTGGAGCTCTTGGAGTCAGCCATTGCATTTTGTTTGATCTCTGGATGTTTGGAAGCCTCATGCTAGCTCTCCTGAATCCTGGAAACAATTATTTCATGTAAACAATTACTTTCCTTCATCCTCTGACCACTTATTGTCCTATTGAAGCTACAAGTTTCAACTGCCTTGCATACTCAGATGTTTTTTTGTGAAATAGGATATATTTAACAGTAAATGAGAAAATTCATCACATGATGCTATGAAAACTGAGCTACTTCTGGAACACATATCCTTTGAGGACAGTTTTGAGAGAGCAATATGATGGATTTTGCTCCCTATCTCTGTGTTATGCAATTTTTTGAATGATGAATTTATTTCTAGCAAACTTTCGGAATATCCTTGCCCTCGATGTCTTTTTTTATCAAGTTTTTTATTTTATATTACATATACATATCAATGTGTGAACAGTGTGACACCTGGGTGCCATACATTTCAGTACAGATAAAATAATAATATTGATCGTATCACATTCATCCAGCTTATATATTTCTAGTAGTAATACACATTTATATCAAATTATAATTTTTCATTATTTCATATTGTTTAAACATACATAATACTACCGCCATTCAGTTTCTAAACCTCCCTCTTATCATTGCACTTGTCTTATTTTATAAAAAAGTGTATATTAATATTCCCCCTTTCTCTTATTTCTGTCTTTATTCTAACTTTTCTTCATGTCACCATTATATTAAAAGACATTCTCTTTGTATTACAATACTATCCTTCATTATTTCATTGTTCAATATTTAAATATATAATTCTAATACCAGTCACAATTTATTTAAACATACAAATTAATTCTATTCATATTCTTTACATTCTTCCAATCTATATGATTCCATTATTAATACACCTGTTTGTATTAAAATATATTCTTTCATAATTTTATTACTCATTATTTCATTTTTATTCCACTGCAAATCATAATATTTAAAGAAACTCAATAATACCATTATTCAATCTCTAATTTCCCATTTTTAATACTTAGTTTTTATTCATATTTCCCATATTTCACTCTATTTATATTAACATACTATCCATTGTTTCATTATTCAATGTTTCAATATACTATTCTAATGCCAATCACGATATTATTTAAACAGATTAACAAAGTTGGAAGGGACCTTATAGGTCATCTAGTCCAACCCCCCTCTAAGCAGGAGACCCTACACAATTTCTGACAAATGGCAGTCCAATCTTTTCTTGAAAGTTTCAAGTGATGAAGCTCCCACAACTTCTGAAAGCAAGCTGTTCCATTGGTTAATTGTTTTCACTGTCAAAAAGTTCCTCCTCATTTCCAGGTTGAATCTCTCCTTGGTCAGTTTCCATCCATTATTCTTTGTCTGGCCTTCAGGTGCTTTGGAAAATAGGTTGACCCTCTCCTCTCTGTAACAGCCCCTCAAATATTGGAACACTGCTATTATGTCTCCCCTGGTCCTTCTCTTCACTAACTAGCCATGCCCAGTTTCTGTAACTGTTCTTCATATGTTTTAGTCTCCAGTCCCCTAATAATCCTGGTTGCTCTCCTCTGCACTTTTTCTAGAGTCTCAACATCTTTTTTTATAGTGTGGTGAGCAAAACTGGATGCAGTACTCTAGGTGTGGTCTTTCTAGGGCTTTATAGAGTGGTATTAATGCATACAAAATAAAATAAAATAAACATATAAAATAACTCTATTCATATTCTTTGCTTTCATCCAATCTATATAATTCTAGTTTTACACATGTTTATATTAAAAAAGATTTTTTCTTTCTTCTTTTTCCTATCTGCCTCCTATCCATCATCTCTTGTCCGCATCAATAGTTTAATTCTTATTCTTTTTTTGACTTGCCCCCCATATTCTTCTCTTAAATCTTTAACTCTGTTTGTATCTGTGTCTACATCCTGCCTAGTCAATTTAAGTGTTTTTCTCCCATCTCTACCCTCTTCCACTGTCTGGCTTTGAAATTATCAGCCCGGACCCCTGTCTCCCTTCACCAAGTATCTTCCTGCTCCTCCCGTTCTCTTTTCAGATCTCTTAGAATGTTTTCTCCCTGATTAGATTAATCAAACATTATTAATTTTATTGATGACTCCTTGTTATCTTCTTTTCATTGACTCCTCAATTCTGTTTTTCCCTCTATTCCTTCTGGTAGCTCCTTCCTTTCCTGGGCATCTTGGTCATTGGTCATTGTGCTTTGTATAATATTTTCCAATTTTTTATCTATGCCATCATTAATTCCAAAATCGCCTTATGTTCTTTCTGTATCATATCCTTTATGCTTTGAAACATCCAGTCCATCTCATTCAGAGTTCCACTCGTTTCCTCCTTATGTTGCATCTTATCTTGTTTTAATAAATTCCACTTTTGGCCAATAGCCTAAGAACTATTTGTTCAAACCTGAGGTTACTCTTCAAAGTAAACACTAATTACAGTTCTTTATGTTCCATAAGTAGTCAGTCATTTCCATCTACATAGTCCAGGAAGTTATCCAAGCCTCTTTAAGTCACCTTTATAGATTCAGTCATATAACTTAACATTCAGGGATCACTTTAATTAAGTGTCTTCCTTTTTCTCACATTTAAATCTCCAATGGTCATAGGATAGATATATTTAGTCCAGTAAATATTTTCACAGTTCTTTAAATGGGTATTCCCAGGCTTGTATATTTTCCTTTCACCAGCAGGTGGCACTCTTAGGTTAATTTTCAATATTATTACTAAAAATCTGGTTTTAATTATTTTAAATTGTAATTCAATTATAGAAGCAGTGTTAATTTTTTAAATCCGTAATTCCAGCATTTTAAATTGCCTTCCCAATGTCACATCTTCCCAATTTAAGAGTCCAATTTCCTACGTTTTTAAAGAATTTTTTTCTCTCTCTTTAATCCTTTCCTTCTGGTCTGGTAGTTTTCTCAAACTTGAAAAACAGCCATCACAACATGATTCAGCACAACACAAAACCTTATTTAATGCACCATTTTGTTCTGACAGTATCTAAATACCCCTCAGAAGCTCACAATGACAGAAACAGTAACCTCCACACATTTTTCCCAGCAACTATTAATGGAAGTAAATATTTATTATTCTGGGATCATAAATATATATTTTAAAAGTCATTGTTAGCCTCCATATATTATATAACAAAGGTTTAGAGGTTAAAACATCTTTTGTATAGCTTATTGGTAGAAAACATGTCTTGTAATGCAGTTTACCCAAATCCTTGTCCGTTAAGTCGGGCCTTGTTTGCAGTCCATGAAGCATACCACCCAGTGTACTGCTCTAGATTGGAACAGCTTATCTGATCTGGAGTGACAGCTGCTGATTCAAAACCAAGAGGCTTATGATAGGGGCACTCTGTAAAAGAAGACAAAGAAGACATGGAGAGGAATCAGTGCAGATTTGAGACAAAAGATTTAATTTTTGCTGCATCCAACTCCAGAAAGCGCTACACTTAATTTTATTAACAGGATGAGACATTGAAGAATGATTGAAGTTTTATTTCTTATTTTCTTTTGGATTTGGAGAAGTTTGGGGATTTAATTTTGCACACTTTCAAGCAGGGAAGTAGAAGTTGTATCATAAGAAAATCACCAAGTCCCACAATACTATAAACCAGTATTTTCAAATAGGACACTTACAGCTGCACATGAGTACAATTTGCTATTGAAAGGATATAGACTGGCAAAGTCTATAAAATCTAGAACTTTATATAAGGAGGTATTTTAGTTTAATCATTTGACAACTTGGAAGAACAGCCTGGAGTTGTACATTCTAAATCTAAAGTCTTTAGAAATGAACCACCATCAATTTACTCTTCTTGTTTAATTCACAGAATTAATATCAATAGAATTTAAATGAATGTTTCCTCTTATTTCACAAGAGCTCCTGTACTGGATGTAACGTTCTGTTTTCTATTTTGTCTTTTTTTTTTAAATGCATCCCCTATTGTACCTACAATTGTGGTGGTTTCTGTAGTGAAGGCATTTTCTAAAGCCATCTGGATAATAGAGGTTTTCACAAAATTTGTAACAATCACATGTATAGTATTAAAACAACAAAGACTAAAATGAGTTAAAACACCTCCAGAGTAGCAGGCTGCAATATTTGCAGGCAAAGCAAGTTTAATTTTAGTAACGCTAATCTTTAGATAACTCAGCTGTAATATACTTAAGAGGTAGCCTTCTGTTGTAGAAAATTGCAGTAGACTAAAATAATTATCAAACAGATGTCTGGGGACTTTCAAATCAAGTACATTAATTATTTAATGCTGCTATTATTTACTTTAAAGTCAATTCAGTGTGAGAAGGGTTTTCTCCTCGTATTAAGCTTTTTTTCCCCTATACTACAGCTTCTTTTGTTTTGAGTTATATATAATTGACACTTTAAGAATCCATACTGCATTTAATGGAGGAAATACCGTATTTTTCAGAGTATAAGACGCACATTTCCCCCCCCTAAAAGAGGCTGAAAATTTGGGTGCGTCTTATACTCCGAACGTAGCTTTTTCAAAGCCTTTTTTCAGCCCTAGAAAGGCGCTAGCAAGTGAAGCAATCTCCATGCTTTGCCTGCTCCCTCCGACTCTCAGCTGTGCTTTAGAAGCTTTTTTTTTTAAATCCCCAAGCAGGGGATAAAAAGCACGCACACTCAAAACCAGCAAACTAATGTGCTGAAGCTGACCAGACTAAGGACGCTAGCCAGATGAATACCTGGTAGGCAAGGTTTTTTTCCTATTTTCCTCCCCAAAAACTAAGCTGTGTCTTATACTCTGGTGCGTCTTATACTCCGAAAAGTACTTTGCAAATAGTGAAGTTAAAGAACTGTAATTAGTTTAAGAATATATTTTCATTTGCTACAGGTCTTTGGGAATGTGCAGCTTGACCCAATCTAATCAATAATACAAGTCACATAAAATTTTCAAGAACATCCTGATTGATAATTATGGGTACTGTATTCCAATATGAACAATATTAAACTGAATAGGCTGATTTTGAGTTATAATAATAAAAAGATGGTACTTACCTGGCATGCAATCTAGACTGTCTGTTTCAGTGGACCACACTGAGTTTGGATTTCTTTGACAATCACATTTACAGGCTTTACTATGCCAGTGCTCTAGATTGTCATCCTAAAATAGTGCAGAATAATGCATCAACTTTGCATATACAGAGTATAAGCAGATTCTTTCTTCTTCCTAAATTCCCATTGGACTATATCAACTCTGCTCAAATGGCACCTTTCAGATGTATAATGAAAAATATTTGGGAAGTACAAGTTTGCAGAGCGTAGTGTTGCACTCTTCATATTGATCAATGCCATTTATCGCTTTATGCAGAGAGAATCATTCTTGAGTACAACAGAGAGAATATGAGGCATTCTAAGTCCTGGTCACACCAAAAGGATGGCCAATTCAACTTAGAGTATATTTTGTTTCACATCTCATTTGAGCCAAGAACTCATTAAACTGCTTTAGTTGAGCCAGTACAGTATACTATATCTTAGTATAATAAAAAGGAAAGGGTGATTGTAAAAATAGCTGAAATCACAAACATGTGCACTTGAGAGACAGAGAGACAGCTTAACAGACAGACAATGGTATGTGGACATGATCTTGGGAGACAGGGTGAAGAGACACGGCAAGAAATGGAATGGGACAATTTGCCGCAGCCAACTAACCGCGGTCAATTCACCGCAGCCAACTCACCATGGCCAACTTGCCACAGGACAACTCGCTGTGGGACAATTCAAAAATTCAATTTAATTATTTAAAATAATTAAAGCATTATTTTAATTTTTGTTATTCACATTTCATTTTGTCCCTCCTTTGGCATCCTTTCTTTCATGATTCTATTCCATTATTTCTTTGATATTAGTGTAACTCTTGTCCCATGGCAAGTTGGCCAGGTAAGTTGGCCATGGTAAGTTGTCATAGACCCGCCAAGAAAATGGTCAGATAGCAACAGCAATAGTGTTTAGATTTATATAACACTTTAGTGCTTTACAGCCCTCTCTAAGCAGTTTTACAGAGTCAACATATTGCCCCCAATAATCTGGATCCTCATTTTACTGACCTTGAAAGGATGGAAGGCTGAGTCAACCTTCAGATAAAAGGCAACTAGCCCGCAGCTGGAATGTAATGGGCCAAGAGGCTCAGAAGACACATACACATACAGAGTTTCTTAGGCTGTAAAGGAGACTGAGTAAGAGATGTACTTTCAGACTTGCAAGACTAATGTCAGCCTTATAAAGTAAACTAGACAGGAAACAGTGTTGGGTGAGCTAATTCTACTTTCTTGTAAGGTTACATTAAAAGACTCCTGCAAGTCTGAGAGAACATCTCTCCCTTCCATCACCTTTAAGCCAAACTTAGCAAGGGTCTCTTCTGAGCCTCTTCTTCTGCTCAAATTCTAAGCTGCCTTTTATCTGACTGTTCCCATGGCTATGTCTCTTTGCCCTGTTTCCCAAGGTCATGCCCATCTATCTTTACAATAGGAATATTACACCTTTTATTAATTCCAACTCTACTAAGCCATTTACATTGCATAGAGGTGACATTAGTATAACAGTGCTGAAGTCTGAGAATAAATTGAGTGGTGGCTAAACAAATGGTACATTATCTGCATTCCCATACCAATTTAGTGAACTCTATATCCAATTATGTATTATATTATGTATGTCTTTCTATGTCTGTTAGTGTATTTATTCAAGTGTTAAATTTTGTATTAAATAATTTAGAATATTAGGATGAGGAATATTCAGGTATAATAGAAGAAGGGTAATATAGTATTGCTACAGTTTTGTCCTTCTGGAGAATTTAAATTCAGTCCTTATGCTTAATCATACCTTCTTCAGTTATCTTTGTATCTACTTTACAGTTCAGTTTTTTTTTTAATATAGTTATGCTATGAAGTACAAATAGTGGAAAGAATGAACGCCTGTGTCAATCGTCCCACTACGTTAGATAGCCAAAAGGAAGTCCTGGGACATTTTTTTACCAAGTGTATAACTTTACTACCTTGTTTCCCCCAAAATAAGACCCAGTTTTATTTTCTTTTGGGCCCCAAAATAAGCACTGGGGCTTGTTTTCATGTAAACATGATTTCAGGGTGATCAGCTTGGCTGGGCACCCCGCCCCCTGGTGCATACACAAGAGCTAGCAAGCGTGCAGGGACCGACGGTATCTGGCAGCAGCTGCAGCCTGCCGGTCCCTGAGTCAGTGCACTCTGGAGCTGCACAGAGTGGAAGACACAGAATGGAAGGCAAGCAATCTCGATGCACCGTGCAGTTGCAGGCAAGCTGAGAGATGCCAAGATAAGCCTCCCATGGCCAACCATCGCTCTGGATCGTCTGTCTCCAACTCAGCAGTGGACTGGTCCAGGCGCATCTGGATCTCCTACCTCCCCCCCCCCCGTGCCTCTGCCTCTTCTGCTGGTGTTGCTACATGAAGATGAGCCTCCTGTTAGAGATTATGAATATAAGATACGGGCATTCGCAGATGATTTGGTTATGACCTTAACTCATCCAGTGGAATCAGCAAAGGTTTTGATTGATATAATAAAACAGTATGGTCAAGTATCTGGGTTTAAGATAAATATTGGAAAAACAAAGATGATAGTTAAAAATATGACAGCTAATCAAAAAGAGGAGTTACAAAGGGTAACGGGATGTGAAATAGTTAAAAAAGTCAAGTATTTAGGAGTTTATATTGCATCTTCTAATGGTAAATTGTATAAGTATAATTATGAATTGATATGGCATAAAATACAAGTTGAAATGGATAATTGGAAAAAACTACAATTGTCCTTGTTGGGTAGAATAGCAGTTATAAAAATGAATGTGTTGCCTAGGTTTTTGTTCCTCTTTCAAATGATACCAATACTAAAAAAGGATGCCAACCTGGAAGAGTGGCAGAAAGGTATTAATAAGTTCGTATGGCAAGGTAAAGAACCAAGGATAAAATTGAAAATAATGCAGGACATACAAGAAAGAGGAGGACTGAAAATGCCAAATTTAAAATTGTACTATGAAGCAGCTGTTTTATCAGCAATTAGTGATTGGATTAATTTAACAAATGGAAGGATATTGAATATTGAAGGGTATGATCTGGTCTATGGTTGGCATGCTTATTTAGTGTATGAAAAAAGGGTGGACAGAGCATTTAAGAGTCATATACTGAGAAATGCTTTATTGCGTGTCTGGAAGAAATATCAATATAAGTTAAATGAAAAAATACCTATATGGACAGCACCCAGGCACGCAATAGAGAATACGAGTATAGAATGTAGACAGGATGTAATTACGTATAAAGATATTCTCATTATGGAGGGAGGTATATTAAAATTAAAATCTGTGAATGT